TATTACATTGTGGTTTTATAACCTTTCCCTGTGTTCATGAGTTCAACATGCCTTGGATGTTTGTGTCCCTGCTGCAGAAGTTCTTGTATCATTCTGTTAATTTTGTAATTGTAAAATATGTTTGGAAGTTAAGATCATCAGATAATTTTATTGTACAAGTAAACCCACTTTGTAATACTACTAAAAATAATACACTGAATAATGTCACGAATGTGGAAACTCTGTCGCATGAGTGGGAATCATTTCGCATTCCGAACGTGCTGTGCACTAAACGTGCTATTATGACATGCTGTGCACTAAAGGGGGTACAGGTGGCCCAATCATCTAAGGCGCCGCGATTTGCTGTTCAGAGTTGCCAGAAACCTATATATGATTGTGTGTTCGAATCCCGGTTTGCCCCGATTATGTTTCTGCATCACAGCAGGTCTCAGACGTTTACCACTTCGGGCTTTCCCCCCACATTAAGCTGTCATGCCGTGAAATAACTCACTCACTCACTCACTCACTCACTCACTCACTCACTCACTAATGCACTAAATGTGCTGTTATAACATGCTGTGCACTAAACATGCTGTTATAAAATGCTGTGCACTAAACATGCTGTTATAACATGCTGTTCACTTAGTGTGCTATAATAACATGCTTCATGGCTCAGAATCAACTCAACAACAGAAGCATCAAGTCATCATAACGATTTAACAGGTATCATATTTCATGGCGCCTAGATCCCATTATGTTTGTTGTTTAAGGCGATACTTAGCAATATTCACGCTATATGATCGCCGTCTGTAAATAATCAAATCTGGACCAGACATTACAGTAAATGATATCATGGGCATCGTTCTACACAATTGGAATACAATGACATGCATCAAACAAGTTAGTCTGACTCCCAGACCCTAGGGAATATATTAAAAAAGAAGTCCAACTCAAGTCTAGAATGATTTGGCAAGTTAAGATTGCCTCAGCTCCGAAATTAAGCATTGTTCTTGGCTCCATTTGAATTTCCTTTTTATTTTGTGGATATTTATTTTTGAATGAGATTACTATATTTCTGGGATAGTCAGCATGTCTGACCTTCTGATCCCATTACTTGCCTCTTATGACAAGGATGGGTTGCTGAAGGCCCATTATAACCCTGATCTTCTTGACACCATTCATTGCAGTGGAGTCATATAGTACATCAACAATGACCTAGCATGGCCACATGTCAGCCTGAATGGCTGGCCATATATGATACATGCTATAGACACAGTCATACCAATAGCTGTAATTATTGAAAAAATCAATAAAATGTGTTGGTAATAAAAATTGTCTCAAAGTAGGAACTTAGCTTGCAGGCCAAGGAACTAACAACTCCATTTTATTGAATTTTTCATGCCTTATGTCAAGTTTATCCCAGCTCATTGTGTTGTGTGTCACAGGTGGAAGTGGTGGATTGGAGTAGAATTTAGCAAATAGATTTCCTCGTGCAGGTAATGATTGGAGGGATTTTTCTGTCTCGGATGCTTTTCGTTTCCATGCCTAAATGTTCTGCGTTTAACTAAATGGCACCACAGAAGGATGAATGACAATCCTTCTGGGTGGAGATTATGGGTCAGAATATTTTTGATCTGGCTCAGGCTTTGAAGGTTGATAAAAAATATCGGTCCTCAGAGCTAGATTTAATTCAGTGCGAGGAAATATTTTCTTTACTTGTGGTTGTGCAGAATAAACCTATTTATGTACGTATTTGCTGTAAATAAAAAAAATCACACCTTTACTACTCATGGGTATCTTGCTTATGAATGATTGTGTGGCAAGATGATGTGGTAAATTGATATTATGTAGAATTAAATGGAACTATTAGCATGACAGGTCATGTTTTGAATATTTGTAAAACAAAATGAAATGTTTCATTCCCATTGTCACAATGCAAACTGATTGTTAGTGGTATCAATTAAAATGATGGATGGCCGCCTCTGTAGTCAAGTGGTAGAGCGGAAGGTCCGGGGTTCGATCCGGGCCGCGTCATACCAAAAGATGTTTAAAGATGGTACTTTTTGTTACCCTGTCTGGCCCTTGGCATTAACAGGCAAAACAAGGACCGGTCCGCTTGGAATCGTATACTGTGTCTGAGTGGGGTATTCATGTTAAACTGGGACATGGTATCCTAGTGAGCTAGCACTATAAATCGGCATCAGTCCGGACTAGTACAAGCAGACACACAAACACACACACGTACATGCACGTCGCTATATAAGTGCCCCATATAAACCCCATTTCACCTCACCAAAATGATGGACCTGTGAAAATCCGGGTTAGAATGGTCTTCAGCAACACATGCTTGTCGTAAGAGGCGACTAACAGGATCGGGAGATCAGGCTCCTTACTGGGTTGATGCATGTCATCGTATCCCAATTGCATAAATCGATGCTAATGATGTCTATCACTGGATCTGACTCGATTATTTACAGAGCTGGCTAGAGCTAGAATGATTCTTAGTGTGGCGTTAAACAACAACAAACAAAATTAAATGACTATTTAGTGGAGGATATCTATAATTGATAGCAATATACTTGTTGAAATGGGTTTTTTTTATCAATTAGTTTTCCTTCACTTCAGTAAAGTATGTAATTTATGTATTTTATTCATGTGTCATGACTATAGCTTTGAGCCTTATGGTGAAATAACCATGTCTAGCAATACGCTGTAGCTTTTTATTACAACCACAATCATTTGAAAAGCTATCCAACATGACATTAAGGCAGCCATGCAGATATCAGTGACATTTAGACAGATGGAACCAGTATGCTAAACGTATAGCATCAACCTGCCCATATCCCTTTGTGAGTGAAGATGAGACATATACTCCATGAACAGCATGTATACATTGTTAAATATTAATTATCTTAAATGTCATGCTGCCACAGGCCGCTTGCCGAAACCGAGATGCGTTTCAAGCCTCATTCCAACGTGATGGCCATTCCATGCCAGACAAGGGTTGCATTTCAAAATTTTAGATGCACAATCTTGGCTAGACTTTAATTCTTAGGATTGGTTTAATGACTTTCCCATGTGGCACTGTTCAGCTGAGAGGCTGCAGGTTTGTGGTGTCATGAGCAACTGAATATGGCCTGAATATATAGATGTCACTAATACTTACATACTGGGTATATGCAATTGAAGAGGCTACTGCCTGTTTACCAAGAGTCATCAAGGCACATGTTAAACTAAATGGATGTTACATCATGGATGGATACTCATAGCAGTCTTAGCCAAAAAAACGGGGCGGTCGGGTAGCCTAGTGGTTAAAGCCTTCGCTCGTCACGCCGAAGACCCGGGTTCGATTCCCGACATGGGTACAATGTGTGAAGCCCATTTCTGGTGTCCCCCACCGTGATATTGCTGGAATATTGCTAAAAGCGGCGTAAAACCATACTCACTCACTCACTCACTTAGCCAAAACTGTTTGGTCTACTAGCCTTAACAAACCCATGAAGATCTGGGGTAGAATAGGTCTTCAGAAACCCGTGCTTGCCGTTAAAGGCGACTATGCTTGTCCTAAAAGGTCACTAACGGGATCGGGTGGTCAGGCTTGCTGACTTGGTTGATACATGTCATCGTATCTATGCGCATGATATCAATCACTGGTTTATTTATTGACCGCCGTCATGTAGCTGGAATACTGCTGAATGTGGAGTTAAATAACAAACAAACAAGCAAACAAACAAACTAGCCCTAACATGACTCTTAAGATCATTTTAGTAGATTTAATGTTATCATTTGGACTATTATTATCTGAGTTTGTAAGACTAAAGGATTAAGAGATTTAGCTCTCAGACAAGTGGCTAAAATCTCAGGCTGTACTAAAGAAATGACAGTCCCTCCACATGTAGATAATTAGTTGTCACCTGACCTTACAACTGGCCTTTGTGAAATACTACTATAACTGTTTGGTGATACCATTCATTGTTTTATTATGCTGATTTAGATCAGTGATAGAGGCAAGGGTGGCCCAGTCGTCTTAAGGCACCACACTTGTTGTGTTCCTTGGGTCAGATTCGCCCTGAATATGTTTCTAGGTTTGTCAGCACCATACCCTTGCTCATGGGTTTCACCAAAATGGTAAATGTCTGAGACCTGCATCACTTTGGGCTTTGCTCCCACATTAAGCTGACATGCCATACGTAATATTACTGGAATACTGTTGAAGGCATCGTTAAACCTAACTCACTCACTTACTCTCTCACTCAATCAATTCAGTATGTTAATCATAAACAAAATATCAATCATAGATTCTTGTTGGATGTAGTTAATGAACTGCATTAATGTCCTATGTGTAACCTTTCCTGTGCAGTGTAAATTACATGTATTTTGTAGTTTTTCAATAATACCTGCAATTATGGCTATGGAAATAGTAGTGATTATTATTATTTGTGAAAACTTTTGTCAGTGAAATAATATGGTGTTTATGGAAATACATTTCTGAAATTATTAGTCATGAATTCACAAGGCAGATCAACTTCAATTATTTTGTGCAATTATGGCTAGGAATAACTATGCTATAACATTACTGACCCAGACAAATGTCAGGCCAGCTATCGATATGTCATACAAAACATTGCAACAACTCACTGGGACATTGGTTACGGGGCAAGTGTCATATGAATGTGTTGGTGGTCATCTGTGGGGTCAAAAAAGGACATTGATGAATTCTTTGGTGGAAAATGACAAGGTAATTTGACCAAGATGGACAACCAGGCTGTACAGTCTGACAGCCACAGTCAACCTGAGTGGTAAAGAACTGTGCCACTTCACCTCCAAGTCAGCCTAAACACCAGCATGGTTGAAGAGAGTGAGTCACTACTGTGTACAAGATGACGGCAAGATGGTGTAGAGTGATTCACTGACCCTGGTTCAGATTGTGTCATCATGTTCTTAACTCATGGAGACAAGATGGTGATAAGTCAGTGAAACTGTCTTGATGTCACTGGAGCTGAAGCACTTCAACTTGTACCACGATTTGAGGTTTGGGTGTCAACGTGTCGAATGTCAGTCCCATGATGCAGTTTTGATAAGATTAAGGAACATGAGATGTATTACATGAGGAGTATTGTTGCAGACACAGAACAGCGTGAAAGCCAAAGGGCTGACATGAATCTCTACATGCTTGCTTTTAAATGGGGTTTCAACTGAATTCTATGTGAAATGCATGCAAGGATTGTGTGTCCGTTCTGCTGGGGAGTTTTGCCTGTGGTGATGAATGTGTTTTCAGACGAATGGTTAAACAATGACGTCCATGATCAGATTACTACTATTGTTACACAGGAGTTTTCAGGTAGACCTTAGATGTCAAGTAAGGCTTACATCTGGAGCTGAGGTGAACATTCCCCCTTGAATCTGACGTGACATAACATCGCATACCGCAGACAGAACCAGGAAGTGTCAGCTTCAAGATGAATCTACTTGCAAGGAAATGAGAAACAAAACAATGTGGGATTGATTTTCTACCACACCGAGAATGCTGCTTATTCAAATCAAAGAAACTGCAATTACGTTTTTGTTTGAAAAGAACGAAAAAGCAGGTATCCGTTTGTAGCTAATGTTAACATCAAGAGTTTTAACGGCAGACATAAATCAAACAAGTCAAATCGGTTGGGGAAGTTAATTTTGAGAATTCTGTAAAGAGGAAGTTAACCATTGCGTCTGGCACATCGCTGCTTTATGTTTCCAGCAAGTCTAGTGAGGTCATTCTGATCTGTGTAGAACACCACACTTCGAATCATCCGCCTCAGAATGCAGCCCTGTCAAAAACTTGACAAGACATTCTATTCCGAATGTGTGTATTAAGGTTAACGGTTCTTGATGAGAAGCTGAGGTTTGATCACACTGAGCTCTCTACAGATGCTTCATTCAAAAAGGTCACATTTCAGTGGCATTTATTTACTTTTTACAGAGCTGTGGTTGTGGGACTTGTATAATCTGAACACATGTCACAGAATCAGGAGTGCAGCACTGGAATGACAAATGAAAGTGCTTCGTGCAGGCAATGGATACCTTGAGTGGGAATAGAAACAGCTGCACCTTGCAAATTGTCATCACAGCTAGTGGATATAGCTCTGGCACCAGATTATTATACCATGCTCAGACAGTGCACCATTATTTTGATGACCAGATGGTGCTCAGGTGCGTGCAGTCCATATCTGGTGACCCTTGGTAACTAAGATACCTGGAGTTTGAGAATGAGTTACAATTCTCACTGAGGAGACCTCAGATTAGGTTGCCATCGATATTGTAGGAGAAGTTGTTGATTAGTTATTGAGACCATCTGTCCACGTGTTTGGATAAATCTATCATGGTAATACAGATCCCTGACAGTGTTGAAGGTGTGTGGTCTGAATTTTACAACTGTCCCAGGATTTTGGAAAGTTGTGCATGGTTTCAGACTAAAATTTAATCCTTGTCAGATTTTGTGTGATAAACATGAACTTGAATGTCCTTCAAATGAAGATAGAACTTTGGGGGAAGCAGTCATATATTTCTACATAACCATCTTTCCTTAAGGAACCCTGTGACCCTAAGTAAACCTTGACGGAATTTGCAAGACGAGTTCATTCAAGTCAAGCAGAACTGAAATCGGTGAAAACGTTGCATCTCACATAACTCAGAGATGTAACCATTTTCCTTTATGGAATAGGAAATCAAGAGGATGTTTTTGTCAGAATAGACTGTTTGATGTCTGTGGTCTATCTTGTGTCTACGCAGTGATTTTCTTGATGGATTGGCTATTTTACCCATGAAGACCAAGCAAGATAGGGGCTCTGACAGATTTAGTGGATCAGCAAGATAATTCTGACATGATGAATATCCGTTGTCGAGCCTGGATGTGAAGAATACTGATAGGTGGTACTGTCATGGACAAGATGCTTCCCTGACAGGATTTTCAGGATGTTGGCTTCTTGTGTAGCAGCAGGGTGTGATGTTCGGTATCCTGGGATGGATGGATACTGGAGTTATTATTGCCTGGCCACTTTTAATGGTTGATATATACAGGAATCTGATGGATGGTGTTGTCACTGTAACTTACTCTGATTAGATGCTGTCATCTGTGATTGGGAGGTTATGATTTACCAAACTATGTCAGATGTAGTTATGAACTTGGAATGTGAAGTGTTACCATTGCCAGAGCTCAGTTGAAGACATTCAGAGTTTGCTTCACTTGTGGTGATTTTGTAGAAACTGAGCTGATAAACAGAGTTGCCTATTCTACTGATGATAAGGTTGGGATTTGAGGTCTTCGCTATTTATACCAATCAGGTGATCATAGCATTGATGGAAACAGAAATTATACCTGCCTGCAGTCTGTGCCAAAAATATCTTGAGTCTACTTGCCCAGACTTGGCTATAATCATCATTTTCTTAAGTTTTTGTTGGTATTTTTCGACTTTTACTAACTGAGCTTATGAGACCGAACAGAAGTTTTCTAGACTCGGGATTCGGACTAGTATCTTAAGTCTTTGGGATGAGATTTGACTTTTGACTTGTTTGACAATATATACAGTATAATGATTACTACAGTCAGTGAACATGCAAAAATGTAAGCAGAATGAGTATGTTATGACCTAGTGTTCAGCAGGATGTATTGACAAAGTCTGATCACATTGCTTGCCAGTTCTGTCAAGTCAGACAATTAGTGGTAGATCAACATGTTCTAGATTTCTTGCTGTCAGGATACGTGCGTACATGGAAGATTCCCTATTAACCTTGTCATGAACTGATAACGAGATCAATCACAATCAACCGAAAATTCCCAAGAGTACCCTGAACTACTAAATCATCAGTTCCTGAACACAGTGATACATTCTGAGGCCAAGCTGTCTCAGATGTCTAGTGTTATGTGTTATGTGACATCAGTATTTTCCTTACAGTTAATAACAGAGTGGTGACTTCAAGGCTGTTTATGAACTGACATTGATCAAGATCTTCATAAATACATTCCTGTTGATCCCAAGTTCACATGATCAGGAAGCCTGGACATTGCAAGGAGTGGACAATACTCATCAAACTATATATATTTCTGTCCAACTCAGACTGACCTGTGGTGATCAAGTGTATTGTACAAAATCTATTTCCAAAACAAGGATAGATCCCATGAGCCTGTGAAGTAATTACAGCTCGACCAAGTTGCTCCCAGTAGATCTCAATCAAGAGAATGACCATTGGTCAAACCTAACCCCGTCTCAAGCGGTTGTGTTTCTCAATAACACTAACTTAGATCCCCTCGGTTGGGACTGCTGGACGAAATCAATTTCAGATAGTGACAGGGTGCAGTCAATCTCCTCCATGTGTATGTCAGTAGTGCTAGCCCTATTGACAGGCTACCGAAGTCTTCACGCCATTATACAAGGTAACACTACTAACATGACTTGTCAGTGATGGGGAGGTGACATGTTGGGGTGATGGCATGATGGCATTGAATGCCCTCCGATGGTTTCAGAATGTTTTTTAAATTTAATTTTATGTTTATTTGTTGTTTAACGCCACACTCAGCAATATTCCAGCTATATGACAGCAGTCTGTAAATAATCGATTGATATCATGTGCATTGATCTATGCAATTGGAATATGATGACATGCATAACCCAAGTCAGCGAACCTGACCACCCAATCCCGTTCGTCACCTCTTTCGACAAGCATAGTCACTTTTTACGGCAAGCATGGGTTTCTGATGATCTATTCTACCCCGGATCTTCACAGGTTGAAATTACATATTAATATAGGTTATAATATATTTGTAAATAATGTAAAAATATTTGTGCATATTGCAGTTATGAAACTGCATGATGAAGAAATGTTTTCTTTGTTGTATGTGTTGAATCTCACTCATGTGGAACATCTGAGTACTTAGTAATAAGGGATCCAGCTTAGCACGAGCCCGCTGGTCGATAAAGTTTGCCTAATGTTATAAGGATTTAGTGTGTCATTCAGGCTAATAAATGTATCAGGTTAAGTTGCATCCCAGTAGTTGGTTATTTTACTTTGGGAAAACAGTTAGTTGTATCTTATTGGAATGCAAGGAGTATTTTTAGCAATGGGACTTAGATCAGTGAATGAACTCTTCCCCAGGTGTGTGACCCCGATGTCAACAGGGCTGACAGTGATGCATTGGCCTCTCATCACTTGCCACTGCTCTGCTGTAATTGTGTTGACATGAAAGAAGTTGCCTGGTTGAAGCTTAGTGTCTCATAATTACCTGTTGACTTTACGGGTTTCAGTTGGTATCTCATCACGACTATAAGTGTGACAGTGGTGGTGCATCATCTACCTTACAATTGGCATGAGACCCGTGAAGATGTGGGGTAGAATAGGTCTTCAGCAACCCATGCTTGTCGTAGGAGATGACTAACAGGATCTGGTGGTCAGGCTCACTGTCTTGGTTGATGCATGTCATCGATCCCAATTGCGTTGATCGATCCTCATTATATCAATCACTGGATTGTCTGGTGCAGATTCAATTATTTACAAAGCTGCCTTCTGATTGGTTATTCCATTGTTCAGTCAAAGTTCGCGCAAGGTCAGTCTGACGTAACCCGTAATGGGATGTCTTCAGATCTTTGTTTAGCGGTAGCGAGAACTAGGATCTGATTTTAATGAGATTGCCCCATGTTTGTGAACTTCACAATTGTATTACATTAGACACAGATAATCTACCCACTCTGCTAACCGTTTCTGTGGAATTTCTCTCCAAGTCCACTCTACATTCGTTTTTATCCTCTCATATATCCTGTGGTAATTGAGTCAAACTAAAATGAGGGACCCTTGAAGATTCAGAGTAGAATCTTCAGCAACCCATGCTTGCCATAACAGGCGACTATGCTTGTCGTCAGAGACGACTAACAGGATCGGGTGGTCAGGCTCTGTGACTTGGTTGATGCATGTCATCATGTCCCAGTTACGTAGATTGATGCTGATGATGTCAATCACTGGATTATCTGTTCCAGACTCGATTATTTACAGACTGCCTGTTATATAGCTGGAATATTGCTGAGCGCGGCATTAAACAACAAGCAAACAAACAAACTAGCATGAGGAATGGGTGGAAGTGATGTGTGGCATGGTTTATTGTGGAACAACCTTGACTGCATGGATTGGTGCTCATGCTATCAACCACTGGTTACATGGCCCAGGTTTGCATATTTCCCAGCTGCTGTGATGCATCTTTAATGCTGCTGACATCAGAGTAAAACAGTGTTCACATTGTTATTCCTGTGCAGCAGCAGTTGCAGCAGTTGCAGCACAGCTCATCTCACTCCTCAGACATCGCCCCAGAACCTTGCAGGCTACCAACCATGGCTTGATTTAGCTGTTAGAACATTATTTCTGTGAGCTAACTGGTATGGTCAGTCTGCTAATGGCACCAGTCAGTTCTGATGAGGCATATTTAGCATTGATTACGGGTTTCTATATTGCCTTTCTTTGGATTGAATGTGTTAGAATCCAATATCCCTGTTGCTGGCTCTGTGTTGTGCGTCAACAGAAACGAAAAACGTTCCTTGGCAACTGTACAGTTTTCTGACGTCTTTACAACATGTGTGTTATTGAATACAAAATTAGCATTATTACTGCTGGAAAGGCCTTTTATACATAGATGGCCGGGGGATTCAGTGGCCACTAATTGGGTTTAATTGTGTCTGTGAATCTGTCTCACTGGAAGTTGTACGTTGATACACTGAGTGATGCATCATTGATTTCTTGTGCATTCAAGACCAGCTTAAATGACGTTTTGCCTTTTTTCTTCCTTTTTTTATGAACTGTAAATGATTTGTAGACATTTATATTCTATTTTATGTTTCTGCATAATTATGAAATTCCAAATTTAAACCAGTGAAAGTTATATTCCTTTGGTATAAACCAGATTTGATGAACATTTATGCGATCATTATTACGTTGGCAAAAGGGTGTGGATAATGTTCCTAGGATTATTTCTATATGAGATATCAACATTAATTACAGCCTCTTTAACATGTTTAAGGATGATGATAAAATGTACAAGCTTAATAAATATTTACCCGTATTTAAATATGGATGATACATGTATCAACATTATGTACAGCCTCTTTAAGGATGATGATAAAATGTTTAAGCTTTAAAATTATTTACCCGTATTTAAATAATGATGACTCCCCCAATGGAATCTGACCTGGGAAATGTCGGACAAGTCCATTTTATGCACAGGTGGGTATATCCCGCATATTCTAACAATCCTCAAGTCGATTATCTGCACCTTTACTGGTTATCATCTCTCCCACTATTGGATGCGATCGTTCGGCCTCTGCCTTTATTTATGTTGCCCAGCTTCATCTATGGTGAACAATTCACTAGACACTCCCCTCTCAAAAATAACGGCGTCCACTATATGACATCATCAAGTTTCGAGCGATTGTTCGAATCTCCAGAAAGATGTCATGAATAAACAATGTTTTATCATGAAATAAACCACACTTCTTTCTTCATTGTTCTTTGCGATTTATGGCATAGTTATCTTATATTAATGAGTGATTAACTACTTAACCATGTGTTGTTACAGACTGTAATTCAGAGAATGTAATTACAAATTATTCCCAATCACAGCAACATTTCTAGGGCTTATGATAGCTATTGGAGACAAATTTTATTTGGGAAGTTTTCAAATGTATCAAAAATGTCATTGCAATAATGCAGTTGTATATCTTTTAAGAGAGAAATTACTTTTATCATTATACTGCCAGGAAAGTGATACCAAGCTGCTGAAGATAAACCAAGCATAAATAATGGGTCTGGTGTTTATTGGTGCCAGGTGTGGATGTAACAGCTAAATAAATACCTGCGTCCAGAGGGAAACCTGGCCTCTTGAGATACTTCTTCTTTGGAATAAAATACCTGGACGTTTCATTCATGGCAGACTCCCTTTCCTTCATTGTGAACTAGTTGTCAGGAGAATAGTTTATTTTTTCTGCATATCAAGTGGTGTTCATTCACAAGACTACTTTCCTGCCAACTGTTCTCTATAAACGTGATGGGTGTTTGATAGAAAGAGGGCTTAATGTTTGTTGTTCCATCTGCTGTGCATACCCCCTGGCGCTGTTCCATCTGCTGTGCACACTCTTGGAGCCGTTCCATCTGTTCAGCTGCACATTCTATAGATCAAATATCTCTTGGTATTTGCTTTATTTAAGGCCTGTGACTGTAGACTGTTGGGGAAAACAAATCCAATAGGTCATTGTCGTAGAACATCTTTATTTCAATACACTGGAAATCTGTGATATGGGATAGAATTTATTGCTTTTAATGTGATAATGTGGCATGGATAATTTTTATGCAGAGAATATTAATTTTAATTTTAATTTTAGGATTTATGTGTAACATCATGATGAAGCTTTCTGTGATTTAAAGAAGACGATGATTACAGAAGTCAATATCTGGCAGTAGGTCCTGGGAAGGATGAGCCTTGCATCACTTCAGGGTTTCCTCCCACACGAAGCTGACATGCCGTGATATAACTGGAATACTGTTCAAAGCGGCATTAAACCCAACTCACTCACTCACACTTGGGAAGGAGATCTGTATGAGCTTTACCTCATGAACGTCATTGAACATTATGACCTGTATTTGACTAAAAGATATTTTCCAAATTAAGAAGTAATTATTAATATAAACATGCATACTTTCAAGGCTATCATGCCCCAGGCAGCAAGTGAGGATTCTGGGATAAGTTACTGGAAGTTGTAAAGATATGTGGCACAAAATTATGGCATTAGTTTTCTTTGAAGATTGTGTATTTTTGTACTTTCCACAAAATCTAATCTTCATACCATGGCTTTTTTATTATGTTGTAAGTTGGTGTCCCCCAGTGCTTGTCATTAATGTTGACTACACAAACGTCTGAAGGACAAAAACGACAGTACAGTGTGATAGGAAGATGCTCTGACAAGACCTGGCAGCACAAAATGATGTGTGTCACTGTAGGCTAAGTCTTCAGAGTTACACACACAGTTAGGTCTAGACTAGACTCCTAAACGGAAAGCAAGATGCTGTGATTTAACTGAAACATTTATGACTCTAGCACGAAACACCAATCGTTAACTTCCTCAGACTTTTCAAGGTCCAGGTTCAGCATTGGACTTCATTGTATCATTATAACATCCATGAATGAAAGCTGAAAACATGGGTTCTATTCTCCATGGTCTCATGAAAATAAAGTGAGCAAATTTAGTTAGAGCTATATGATAGCACCTTGTCAATTCATCAAAGCAATACTCCTTTGTTACAATGATCATCTTGGTGGTTACTGATACAAAACATGAATTAACAGCAGCACTTGTGATTACCTTTTGTTTGTTTGTTTGTTTGTTTGTTTGTTCTTTAACA